AACACATGGCTTATAGTTTCCTCCACTTCTTTGCAGAAAACACAACAAACATCAACATTAACATTAACATTTAGGATACCAATCATTCTTAAGAAACTAGCTGAATTTATTCTACCCCTCCAAACCAACCATCCAAAGAATTGTGCTCTAGGTGGTGTAACAGTCTTCTACAATGATCTAGAGACCATGCAAATAGGACCACAACCCAATTCAAACCAATGATAGGAAGATGAAACATTGAAAATACTAGATGGATCTGCATTCCAACTCAAACAGTCAACAACATTAGCTCTGAGCAGTGGGGTGCTACTAAGATGCACTAGCAATATACTCAACTCCTCTTCCTCCCAAGCAAAAAAGGGGTCTTCTAAAAATAAAGACCCAATTCCCATAAGCATCTCTTCTGGTATGAAACATAAACACAGATCCTACTCTGTCATCAGATAAAGAGTAGAGTCTAGGAAACTTATCTCTAAGGTTAACACCATTTGACCAGCAGTCAGACCAAAATCTTGTTCTTTTACCATCCCCAATCTTGTCAACAGCATTACTCCTAAAAAATTGAAGAAGCTCTGCCCCAGTAGCCACAGTGTTAATTATATCACCCCAAATCTTGGACATCCTGCTAGCCCTCTCAGTTCATGGGAACCATTCCCTACCTTGTTCCATATACTTTCTACATATTACATCCTTCCAGAGGGAAATATCTTCTGCTTCAAACCTCCACCACCACTTCAGTAAAAGGCATACATTCATAAATGTAATTCTCTTAACACCCAGCCCTCCTACAGTAGAATATAATATTAACTAGCATATGACCCGTACTATGCATGGGATAAAATAATATATTATTTTTTTAATAAAATACATATTATTTACATTTAATCTTTTTTTATTTTATTTTACTGTTCGTAAGTAAAAAATTAAATATAAATTTATGAGTTGTATATTAATAACTTCCTCTCCCCACCCAAACAAATTTAGTTGTTAATCAATGTGTTTTTAATTTAATTTTTTTAAATATAATAATAAACAATTTAGTTTATTAGTTTTCTCTCTCCCAACCCATACATTCAATATTTTTTTTCCTTTAAAATATATAAATAATATTTGCAATTTACTAAAATAAAATAAAAAAGTACAAATAATTTTATGAAATGCATTCATTCTATTTAAAAATAAAAAATATTAATATAAAAGATCACAATTAACTGAAATTTTAAGATTAATAGTTAAGAACTCTAACAAAATAATAGTATAAGACATTTCTTTTTAAATTTTATTGGTAAGGATTTCTATTATGAAAATTTTAAGTTACAAATCTTTGGCATTGAATGGCCTAAACAACAGATTTTTTTAAAAAAGTTTTGTAGTTTGAGACCTTAAAACTCTAAAAGCATCTTTGTTAAAAAAAAAAAAAAAATAAAAAATAAAAAAATAAAAAAAATATTTACAATACTACATATTAAAGAGTTCGATTATCTCATTTTACTTTTTTGTTTAGCAAAAAAAAAAAAAAAAAAATCATTTACAATACTATATATTAAAAGAGTTCGATTATCTCATTTTACTTTTTTGTTTAGCATATTGCATTTTTTTTTAGTTTTGTAATGGTTAAATAAGTCATATTGTTTAGTAATTTTGTTAGTTTTCTTTTAACGTTATTTATTTATTTTTATAACTTTCATTTAGGAAGATTTTTTTTTATACTAATTTTCATTTTTAATGATTTTTTTTTCAAAAAAAGGGAAAGAAACTGAATGAAAATTTTAATTTTAATTTTGTGTAACTTAGACTATGTATTTTTTTTTTTTTAAAAAGATTTTGAAAAAAATTCAACATGATGAATTAAGTCTGGGAGTAAAAGGAAAAAATTCAACATGATGAATTAGTAAGTTTTTCATTTTGAGTGGAGACTAAACTGTGACAATTTTTTAAATTTTCACTATTTAGCTTGTTTTATAAAATAAGGGTTTTTTATTTTTTATTTTTTATTTTTTTCTTCCTTAACTAAAAAAATTACTTTAAAAACCTTAGGCATAGGAGGCCTTAATTACATACTTGGTGGGCTAGTTTTCAATGTTCAAAAAAAGTACTCATAGTTTTATTCAAAATATATAGTATATGACTCAAATTGTAATGTGAATAACTTATTCTAGATCAAATTCTAAGTATTAATATGTATGTATCAATTCCTGCAAAATTCATTACTAAAGCTATTCCAATTTTTAAACCCTAAACTAAATTCTAAATTAATTTTACATACTTGTAATACTCTTTTGTATGAATATAGTTTTTCATTAGAAGTATATGAATAACATTTCTTTCCTTGAGTGCACCTTCAATGAACAAATAAAATAAAAATAAAAATGAAATGTAAAAATGTAAAAATAATACCACTGTAAAAATATTAAATTACTCTATACCTATAAACAAATCATACACTTTAACAAAGTTTTATTGAGCAAATCATATACTCTAATGGCGTTTGATTGGACATCACTATAAATACATTAAATTTAATTATTCTAAATTAATAAACACATCACATATTCTAATAAAGTTTAATTGAGCATCACTGTAATACATTAACTATAATGAACGAAAGCATGTAATAGAGTTATAGATTAATTATATACCTAATAGAAGCTCTAAGTTTAGGTGAAGAAGAAAGTTTTGGTTGAGAGATATACCAAAATTTGAAGTTTTTACAATTCTTTTTTTCTCTAGTTGACATTTGCCGAAAGTTCGTGTGGAGAGGCATAAAGTAAGATGATACATTACACACACATACACACACACACACATATATATATATATATATATGTAAAGAAGCTAATACTTATCTCATATTTTAAAATGATAATTATCTAATTTTGTTTTATCTAGAATAACTTTTATGATTTGAAATTTGAATACTCAATCCTTTAAGGATAATATTTGTTTGTTTGTTTTTATTTTAATATCAATTATTTGGTTTTTAAAGGATATTTTTTTTATTAAATAAAATGATATATGATCCAACAAAAACTTGAGTATGCCATTATTTTAATATTTTTTAAATTAAAAAATCAATATTACCTTATATACGTTAATACTTGTCTGATCGTAATACTAAAATAGATTTGTTAAAAAATATTCTTATTTATCTCTATAGCTTTATTTATTTAATTATTTTTTTTTGTTCACATAAAAAATAAAATTTTTATTATCATTATTATTTTTTTTTATAAAATGAGAAGAATATGGATAGATAGATTAGTTATGAGTAGAAATAGATTAATTAAATTCTTTTTTCTTATTTATCTTCTTGTAGCTATTTTTTTATGTTCACATCAAGAACTTAATATTTTCCATCTCATTTTTTTTCTGTCATCTTTTTTAAAAACTAATAAATAATTAGAAATTAGGAAAAGGGCAAATGAGGCTAGAGGGCTTATCGTGTAGAAAAGAGAAAGCTAACTTTGAATGAGAAGGTATGATCAAGACTTTTAAAATTTTTGAAAACTTACTATATTTGCTTATATATACACTACAACAATTTACATTTTTGGTGACTACAAGGATTTTAGTTGCCAAAAGTTAACCTTTTGGCAACTAAAAAATGTATTAGCCGGTGTTTAGTTAAGTTGTAGTGACTAAATTTTTTTAGTTGACATATATTATTTATTGGCGACTAAAAAGAATTTAGAAGCCAAATATGCCACTTTTTGGCAACTAAAAATTTATTAGTCAGCATAAGTCTAGATTTTAGGCTACTCAATAGGCTTTTAGTCACGGTATGCTAATTATTGTTGACAAAAAAAGGTTTAGTCGCCAAATAACAGCTATATTTTTCATGTTACACTTTGGCAACGAATAAATTAGTCTGTAAATATTAACCTTTCGTGACAAAAACAAATTTAGTTGTCGTTTATTAAATTTTTTCTAACCAAAAAAAATTTAGTCGCTCAATTACAAGTTTTGGTGACAAATAAATGGTTGAGTCGCTAAATGATTAATTAATTTTAGAGTGAAATGAATATATTGGCGCCCTGTTATGGAATTAGATATATCGGGTTCTTCTCTCTCTCTCAGAGCATCTCCAATGCATGTTCCATAGCTTCAAATATGGAAGATCCTCTCCCAAAAACAACTCCAACCCATCCTCTATCCTCCACATATAGAGGGAGGATGAAAAATGGAAGATCACTCTAAAATACTATTCACTCTTTTTTGATATTTAATTTTGTCTTTATAACTTAATATGTATATTCAATATTTATAAAATTAGTTTCATTAAAAAGATATTAACAATACCTTTAAAATGAGATCAATATTAATTATATTCAACAAAAAATTAAATAAAATAATTTAAATTTTGAAGAAAAATTGCATTAAATTTGAAAGCAAATTTAGTTGTCGTTTATTAAATTTTTTCCGACCAAAAAAAATTTAGTCGCTCAATTACAAGTTTTGGTGACAAATAAATGGTTGAGTCGCTAAATGATTAATTAATTTTAGAGTGAAATGAATATATTGGCGCCTTGTTATGGAATTAGATATATCGGGTTCTTCTCTCTCTCTCAGAGCATCTCCAATGCATGTTCCATAGCTTCAAATATGGAAGATCCTCTCCCAAAAATAACTCCAACCCATCCTCTATCCTCCACATATAGAGGGAGGATGAAAAATGGAAGATCACTCTAAAATACCATTCACTCTTTTTTGATATTTAATTTTGTCTTTATAACTTAATATGTATATTCAATATTTATAAAATTAGTTTCATTAAAAAGATATTAATAATACCTTTAAAATGAGATCAATATTAATTATATTCAACAAAAAATTAAATAAAATAATTTAAATTTTGGAGAAAAATTGCATTAAATTTGAAAGAAAAGTAAAAAAATGTTCAAATTTTTGAAGAAATAAAAATGTATGATTGGAGTTATCATAAATAATAAGATTCTCTAAACTCATTATTTGAATAAAAAATATTATTTTGTTAGTCTATATTAGAGAAATAGAGATGTATGGGATGGAAATGCTCTCACACACATTCTGTTTGGCCACCAAACCTCACCCCACATCACCTCACCTCAGCGTAGACCACCGCAGATCGCCACCGCCACCGCCGCAGATCGCCACCGTCACCGCCGCATCCTCACAGATTCTCTCTCACTCTTGATCTGTCTCTCTCCGTCACGCGCATCTGTCTTTCTCTCTCTCTCTGTTTCTCGCTCTGTCGACCTTGTTCACTCTTTCTCCCTCTCTGTCCCCCTTTCTCTATTACCCCCTTTCTGAATCTTGCTCTAGGGCTGTTATGATTTCTTCAATTTAATTTGGTGTTGATTTCCAAAAATGGGTTTGGTTGAAGTGGTTTGATTTGTAAAGTTTTATGGGTTTGATGTGCTAAATGGGTTTGATTTTAGTGATTTCATACATTTTCCCTTATTTTTCCTTTCTCTCTCGTTAGTTTCAAAGCCCTAATCCATTGATTGCGTATGAATTTGCATGTATATTTGGTCCCTCATTGTGTATGTATGTATTCAAAGCCCTAATCTATTGTATTGGAAAACCTTCTTCTGGGGGGTTTTCACTCATTATTGGAAATGTTTGTTTCCATTATTTTTTTTTTACCCTTTATGTACTTATTGTACAATTCTTATTCTTTTATTTTTTTTAAGATGTTGTATGGTTCTGTGAAGTTCATGGGATGGATGTAGTGACTGAATCAGTTTCTTTTATAACACTGAACTGATGGAGGAAGTTGCAGTTGGAAGAATTTTAACTACTAAAGAAAATTAGCTAGAGACAGAAATCAAGAACAAAATGGATCAATGTGGCAGTGACATTGTTTTATTTTTGTGTATATATATTCCTTATCCATAGCTCTACCTTACATGCAAAATGCTTGCTTGATTTAGTGGTATTTATTAGTTGAAGAATTGGCTAAACACTGACATTTTGTGCTAGTGGCAGATTTCAGTCGTTCTTTGTAATGCTGGAAAACCTTGTGGCTTGCAGTCAGTTTGTTTATATGGAGGAACTTCTAAAGGACCCCAGGTATTTTCGTTGAAGTCTGGTGTTGTAAGACTACTTCAATTTTGCTCTCTAATTTTATTTTCATTTTGAATTTTTGCCACACAAAAAAAGGGAAAGAAAAAGAAATTACGTTCTCATTTTGACTAGATGTTTACATAAATCACATTCTACTTGATATATATCCTTACTTATTTGTTGCGACATACTATTGTTTGATACCTGTTAAGAGTGAAATTGCTTCTGTGTTTGAGTACCCTTCATTTTCAAAATATATATGGCTGTTTAAGTTACTATAATATCTTCATCATTTGAACATGGTTGGATGTATAATTGTCCAAGAAAGATTGAGTTTAATATGTCGTAGGCGTAGAGAGAAGTTGGATATCAAAACATTTATGGTATCGTTGAGTTGCTTGTCTATTAGTTACAGCCACTAAAGCACTCTTTACATGGACGTTCCTTTATGCTAGAGTGCTAGACAATGCTAAACTGAGTGCTCTGGCAGACTATCACCAATCTTCTGGTCATAGATAACACCTTGCTGCTCTAGCACTCTTTAAGCCTGCTAGAGTAGCCTTCCAAAACTCTTTCTTGGCACTTCTATAGTCTATTTGGGGTGGGAAGTAACCAAAGATAATGACAACACAGAGGTTGATGTCTAGAAGATTCTAGATAATGGTACCAATTTGGAAAGAGCATTTTATATTAGATTTTTGCTTTTATAAGCTTTGACTTGCACATAACCTCTTTTCCAATTGCAATTTCTCTAACATCAGTTTTTTAATGTCAATTTTTTTTGGTTTTGTTTTTAAATTGATGGAAAAATGTCATTTTTTTAATCTGCGATAGCAAATTTACTTCCGACGAGTCCCCTTTGAACTGAAATATCTTGTTATCATGTGCTCTGTAGATTTTTCAATGTTTTTTCGGGTACAAATCTGCAATTGAATATGTGGTGAGCAAGGAATAAAATGTTTGTTTCATTCCCATTGAAATAGCTGAAATTTTTTTGTTTAGATGGAAAGTGATACAAACATTAGTGGGAGATCAAAGTCAATCTATGCTTTTTCTTTTTCTTTTTCTTTTTTCTCTTACAATGGAAAGCCCTGGATCTTAATCCAACCCTTTAAACCAATTTTTTTTGTCTTCTAAGTTCCAATATTGTTGATCTTTGTTGATCATGTTTTTTAACCGTATTAAAAGGCCCTTTTAAATCTTGTTGCTAAAACGACATCCCTCACACATTAATGTGTACTAATTGGGTGTTGTGTATTGTTATTTTTATGTCCTATATATTAGTGAATCTTAATGATAGGAAGCTTAGTTATGTTCAAAATCATAAACACTTGTGTTTGTTAATTTGTTGGACTTTAATTGAACAACTTTTGGTTTGTATTGGCATTTAGTACCAAATTGTACACTTGTGCCCTTTATGTGAATGGATTAATACCAAAGTGTACACTTGTGCCCTTTATGCTTAGAGAAGCGTACCAACCAAATGGAAATTTTGACAAGAACAAGGAGGAATTCGTTTTCGATTATATTGGGTAGACTACTATAAAGACCACGTTTTTTAGTGTTGAGGTGAAAAAAAGACTAGGTTGTTCAAATTCTTAGTTCTTATTTTGTTGGGACCAATTAGAATGTGTTTATAACATTGGGAGTCTTTGCTTGAAGTTTCTTGTTTCTCTTTTAACTTTTGAGAGTTTCCATATTTGTACGAAACGATACATCGAATCCCCTTTTAGTCTCTCACTTTTTTCTTTGGTCATATTGCCTCTCACAAGGGGAGTGAATATCATTCCCCTATTTGTAACTCCAATTGGGAGTCTTTTCATGGGTCATAAACTAGCTCACTAAATTGATTTAGATGCCTTATGTATTTAAGAACATTTTAGTCTTATCTAATTGCTGTATTGGTGAATTCAGTTTCTAGAAAAAGATGACAACAGAAAGCCTGAAAGCCCTTTAATCTTTTATTCAAGTTGTAGCTATTAGTGATTTACCTGTGTCAGGCTTGGATATGGGAATTTTGATGAAATTGATTTTACTAGAGCATTCTAGCTCCCTACACTAGTGTCTCCAACTCCTTTCTTTTTGGCAGGTTCTAGATGAAATTGATCGGATGCTTGACATGGGATTTGAGCCAGAAGTTCGTTCTATATTGAGCCAGACATGTTCTGGTATGTTGTATCACTTGATTTCCTTTTTCTATTGTTTGTTTTTTTTTTTCTTCTGGTATTTTGTATCACTTATTTTTCCTCTTTCTGTTTGTTTATTCTGTTGCTTTTTTTCTTTAATTGATTTCATACTGTAGTAAACACATGGCTTCCTAAGCAGCCTCATCCGTATCCTACATTTTAGTTTGAGTCCTTGTAAACCTTTGTGATAGTCATTATAGATAACTGTGTTTATCTTTTTTTCTAAAAATTGCTTTGATTAGTGTTTTGGGGTTCCTGTAAGGTGTTGGGATTCCAAAATCAAAGAAGATTTGTAAACTTGTAGGCACATGCACAGGCTTTACATACAAACAAAATTGTCCGTGTGTCTTCTTCTACAACAAAATAAAAATGATTACAAAATGGATTAGGAAATTTTCCTTATGAATAATGTCTTTGGCATGAGCACATGCATCATTTATCTTTGGAACATGTATGTAGTGTTGGCCTTACCTTTGTTGTTGGAGTAAAATCCGGTTTCGCTTACTCTTTCTATTATTTTCATGAAACTGAATTCCTGTTAGTCCTTTATTGTGCTCTGATAACAATTTCCAACTATTGATAATTATAGTCCATATACAAGATGTTTAACATATATATTGTTGTGGATAATGTGTGTCTTCTTCTACAACCATATAAAAAGATTACAAAATGGATTAGAAAAATTTTGTTATGAATCATGTCATTGGCATGAGCACACACATCATTCATCTTTCGGTTTTGTATGATGTATTGGCCTTGCCTTTATTGTTGGAGTAAAATCTGGCTTTGCTTTGGATTAATGCCAAAGGTTTTGAAATTTTCCACCTTGCATTTGTGCAACTGATATTCCTACATAATTTGATGCATGCAAATCTCCTTTGGTATATAACAGGTCTGATTGATAAATATTACCGAACTTGAATTGAGTGTTGACTAATTAGAAATTTTTTATACCAACATAAGTTTTATAGAAATTAAATGGAAGAACTCCTCAAAAGAAAACTATTGATTTTTAAATTTTTTTTATTTTACTTCGACAAAGGAAAGAACCACCAAATAGTGAAATGTACAAATTTAAGCTATGTGTATGAAATAAATGGCGCTACCAGCTCACCGCTTACTAACCATGGAAACATAAGATACTTGGCCGTTTCTTCCCCACCCCACATCCACAAATCCCATGCATAATGTTTCAATTTCCAAGAATAATTTAATGGGGTTGTTCTCTTGTTAATCATTTACTAATTAGCATTAGTATGAATCTATTATCTTTGTCACTCTCCTAGGTAATGTTGACAGGAGTAGTTGAAGAGGGATAGATCTCTTCAAGGTTGCTTTTACTGCCTGCCTTATTTTGGTGTGTATGTCTCTGTGTGGTTATCTGTTTTCCCATAGCTAATGCTTGTTATTTTGGTTGTAGTGGAAGAGAAAATCATGTTAAATTAGACCCAAACAACTTCACCAAGTTTTCTAGCAATTTTTTAGGTTAGAAATTTGATGCTACTGAATTACATGCTTCATGAATTCATTGTGCAGAATTGTGGTGTTAAGATATTGTAACATACTATCTCTGAGAGTAGCCTATATTTATTAAGCTATAGCTTGGAAAGAATTGAGTAGATTTTGACTTGGCATCCAAAGTTTGCATTACGAATTTTCATGGAATCACTATACAGTTGCAAAGTGCAATCATTTTAGGTCCAAACATTTTTTCTTCCTCGCCTTGTTTTGAAATTTGATAAAAGAAACAAAAGTGTACATTTTTGTTTTGAAATTTGAGAAGAAAAAAAAAAAGTGTACAACGTGTATTTGTTCTTTCTCACTACCCTCTGGCACAATTGTTGAAGATGTTGTGTATGTTGAAGCAACTAACTCCACTACCGAGACTACTAATGATTAATACTCTTATCATCCCCTCTCAAGCTAATAGGTGAGGGTAACACCATTAGCTTGTCCTTTAGCTATAACTTTCTTGTTGACTTTTAAGAAAGGGGAAAGAAGGCACTAGGTTTTAGGAAAGATTTTACTGGATTGCATATAGTTAGGGATCTTATACCCTTATGTTAATTGATCATTTTAATACTAATTAGATATAGGACAAATGAAGGGTGTTCGCGCGGGCGCGGGGGCGGGGGGGGAATTCAAAACAGTCTCTGAACCACACAATGGATGTCATGAGAAGCTTTCTCGTGACAAATATGACCTGTGAGGATAGACGACATGTAGTTTATCACACGTAGGTTGGGAGTTAGAGTCAAAAACGTCTTAAACTTAGTCGAAAAAGGGCGTTTAGAGGGTGAAAATGCAAAACAGCTCCCCGAACCACTCTATGAACGTCACAAACAGCTTCCTCGTGACAAATAGGACCTGTGGAGACAGAGGGCATGTAGTTTGCACACGTAGGTTGGGAGTTATAGTCGAAAACACCTTAAACTTAGTCAGAAAAGGGCTTTCGGGGGGCGAAAATGCAAAACAGCCCCCGCACCAATGTGTAGGAGTCAGGGGCAGCATCCTCGTGACAAATACAACCTGTGGCTACAGATAGCATGTCATTCGAACGCGTAGCTTGAGAGTTAGAGCAAAAAACGCCTTGAACTTAGGCGAAAAAGGTCCGAAAATGCAAAACAGTCCCCGAACCAATGTATGAATGTTACGGACTGCATCCTCCTGGCATATGGCTGCAGACGACATGTAATTTGCATGCGTAGTTTGAGAGTTAGAGCTGAAAATGTCTTAAACTTAGTCGAAAAAGGGCTTTTAGGGGGCAAAAATGCAAAACTGCCCCCGAACCAATGTATGGCTGTCACACACAGCATCCTTGTAACAAATAGGACCTGTAGCCATAGACGTCATGTAATTCGCATGCGTAGTTTGAAAGTTAGAGCCAAAAACGCCTTCAACTTAGTCAAAAAAGGGCTTTCGGGGGGCGAAAATGCAAAACAGCCCCCGAACCAATGTATGGATATTAAGGGTAGCATCCTCATGACAAATAGGATCTGTGACCACAGATGGCATGTAATTTGCACGTGTAGTTTGAGAGTTAGAACCAAAAACGCCTTAACCTTAGTTCAAAAAGGGCTTTCGGGCGGCGAAAATGCAAAACAACCCATGAACCAATGTATGGATGTTACAGATTTGTTATTTATTTACTTATTTTATTATTTAAGCAAGTTATTTATTTATTTATTATTTTTAGATAAGCCCCCGAACCAATGCAAAGGTTTCGTCAATAGAGCACAAATGATGTGCACAAGAAGAGATAAGGAAGAACAAATAAACTTACAACATAAGAGAAAGGAGAAGAAGGCAAGGAACTGGTTGGACAATATTAACCATGCCATCTTCCCTTAAATTACATGAATAACAGGTATGCTTGTTGAGAGAAGAGAAACAGAGGCGGAGTATACATACATTTCTCAAGAATGATGACTTTTCTAATACTCCCAATTCCTCAACTCTTCCAAACTACCAAAATCTTAAAGTCAGAATCATGTTGTTTGAAAACTTAAGACACTACCAAAAGCTAAATAGGATCAATTTTCATGAAGACGTGTTTTACGAAGTCCTGTATTTAGTTTTTACATAACAAAAAAGCTCAACCTCTTATTGCTTATCAAAGACTTCTTGAATAGAACAAGAAATACTTGTCCACCACTTCATGTGTTTAGTTTTTACTATTAGTTTTGAAAAACATGAATAACTAGGTACATTGAAGCATGCATTTCTGAATACTAATGTGTGCAATTTTATTTTATTTTTATTTATTTATTTTTTTGGCGTGGACTTGTGGGTACTCCTTTTTGGTGTATGGAGGACAATTTCGACCTTTGCATACTCCTGATAATTTTGTCGTCCTCTGCTTTTGTGTGGATTACTATTACTCGTATAGATATTTTTTGCCCTCGACTTTATAATTACTGGCGTGGTATATAGAATTCCTTTTGTTATGGTACAAATTCCAATGTTAATTTGCACCACGACAAATGGCCATTTTGCATGGTAGTACATATATTTTTGGGGCATAGATAACTTAATTGTTATGATTTGTATGGAATTATTAAAAAAGTTTGGACTAGATAGTACAGGTTGGACTATGGTTTGTATGGAATTTTACATTTACAGTTATACATTTTTTGATGGTTGGAAGTGAAATGGTTGCGAATCTATTTTGGAATGATTGATAATAGATGTATTGCTTTGTTCATATACATAGTGCAGGTTGCACGAAATACATACAGGTTGTAAATAAATTAGAATTTGGAGAAAAAACATAAAATTATGTTTTTGGCGACTAAACAATTTGTAGGTCAAAAGGAAGAAAAAAAAAATCGGCGACTAAAAGTTAGCCAAAAAACAAATCACACTTTAGGCGACTAAAATGTTTAGTAGCTACAAAATTGCAAACAAACAACAAACATATTTTGGTGACTAAAGGTTGATGTATTGTTTTGTTCATATACATAGTGCAGGTTGCACGAAATACATACAGGTTGTAAATAAATTAGAATTTGGAGAAAAAACATAAAATTATGTTTTTGGCGACTAAACAATTTGTAGGTCAAAAGGAAGAAAAAAAAAAAATCGGCGACTAAAAGTTAGCCAAAAAACAAATCACACTTTAGGCGACTAAAATGTTTAGTAGCTACAAAATCGCAAACAAACAACAAACATATTTTGGTGACTAAAGGTTTAGTAGGCAAAAACAAGTTAGACTTTAGGCTACTAAAAGTTTAGTAGTCGAAAAAAATCAAACATTAGGTAACTAAATTATTTAGTAGCTAAACAAAAATAACCTGAACAACAAAACATTTTTGGCGACTAAAGATTTAGTAGGCAAAAGCAAATCAAACTTTCAGCGAATAAAAGTTTAGTAGCGAAAAAAAAAAAAATCAAATTTAGGCGACTAACGTAACCGTAGAACCACCCAACGCCGGCGTAGCAACCACCACTGGCCCAGTTTCCGACCAGATAGGTAGCGTATAACGCCGTGAACCGCATCGAATTGAAATCTGCGACGGATACCCACTGGCCTGGCCACACATCTTCAACCGAACACACCCTAACATCTCCACCGACTCATCGATCGCCACAAAACCACCACATCTGTTGCCAATCTCGCGAAACAACTCAGGACTTCGAAAGTGGATTGGAAGGCCCAAAATCTGTACCCAGTTATTGGATACCGAAATTGGTGCCCCGCCATCCACACACAGCGAATCCGGCGACCAGTAGCTAAGAACCATATCACGCCCAGCTATCGTCCACCGCCGACGTATCACACTCTCAGCCTCACGCCTTGATCTAAAGACAGGTAAAATTGCCCTCCAATTCCATAAACCTCCACTTCCCCTGACGATTTCCACCATCGAATCACCCGATTTGCGACTACCAACGTATCCAAACCTTTTGCCCCCAAAACCCCCACCCTTCCCACTACCGCTCTATCCAACTTTCGAAACCACCCCCCTTTAGAACCTACCTGAACCACCACATCCCCCACATCCGCGTCCTGATGTACTGGCGCAATCACCTGCGGTGGCCTCCCTACTGCCTCCACCCTAGGTTGGCTGTTCTTCGTTCTGGCCCATCCATCACCAAAGGCAAAACCCTCCATGACCAATGCAACTCCCTCCCAACCACCACCAAAATCAGATTTTGGCACGAAAATCTGTTCTCTTCTGCCAGCAGTCGTGGCCACCATCTGAAACGAGGATTTGCTCATCGTCGGGTTAATCAAGTTGGGAAGTTGTGGGTTAATGGGGTGTTATCGTCAGAGGAGGAGGTGAGAGAAGGCATAGTGGGCTTTTACCAGCATTTGTTTCGGGGGGAGGATGGGACTTGGAGGCCAAGTTTGGATGGTGTTCAATTTGATGCTCTTTCAGAGGCAGATAGGCAGATGCTGGAGCGGCCTTTTTCCGAGGAGGAGGTTTTCAAGGCTCTTCAGAAAATGTTTGGGGATAAGGTGCCAGGCCCGGATGGTTTTACTATGCTTTTCTTCCAGCGGTGTTGGGAAGTGGTCAAGACAGATGTCGTAGCCTTGTTTGCTCAGTTTTATCAGTCCGGATAGTTTGAAAGGAGTCTTAATGCAACTTTTGTAGCATTAATTCCTAAGAAGGGTGGGGCGGCAGATATAAAAGATTTCCGACCCATTAGCCTGTTGGGGAGTGTGTACAAGCTTCTAGCGAAAGTTTTGGCTAACAGGTTGCGCGTGTCTGAGTCCCAGAATGCCTTTGTGGGGGGGCGTCAGATTTTGGATGCTGTGTTGGTAGCAAATGAGTGTGTTGACTCGCGAATTCGGCGGTGGGGTGCTGGTCTTATTTGTAAGTTAGATATTGAGAAGGCATATGATAATGTGAATTGGCAGTTTTTTATGTATATGTTGGAGCAAATGGGGTTTGGGGAACGGTGGAGGCAGTGGATTCAGTTTTGTATATTGACAGTTAGGATGTCTGTCCTAGTGAATGGTATGCCAGCAGGATTTTTCCCGACTCAGGGGTTTACGGCAGGGTGACCCTTTGTCTGCTTTATTGTTTATTTTAATTATGGAGGCTTTGGAGCGCTTGTTATCTACTGCAGTTCGGAGGGGTCTTTTGACGGGTTTTAAGGTGGGTATGGACCGGACTACTATATTAGTGGTGTCTCACTTGTTTTATGCGGATGATGCTCTTATTTTTTGTGGCGCGGAGGAGAGTCAGGTTGGTTATTTAAGGTGTGTTCTTCGCTGTTTTGAGGCGGTCTTGGGACTTCGGGTGAATTTGGGGAAGTCAGAGTTGATTCCGGTTGGGTCCGTGCCACGTATTTCTATGTTGGCTGCAATTTTGGGTTGTAAGATAGTGGCGTTACCCACAACTTATTTGGGGTTACCTTTGGGAGCTTCTTTTAAGGCTCCAAGGGTGTGGGATGGGGTGGTGGACAGGGTGCAGCGTCGTTTGGCAAGGTGGAAGCGGCAATATCTTTCGAAAGGGGGCCACGTTATACTGATCAAGAGTGTCCTCTTGAGTATCCCGACTTATTTCATGTCAGTACATGTTATTCCTGTGTCTGTTGCTCGGAGGTTGGAAAAGTTATAGGGATTTTTTATGGGGAGGAGGGTCAGAATCCTTCCATTATCAT